GCGATCCTTAATCTCCCAAAAGATTACTGATCATCATATCTATGAGGGAAATTCTTTAAAAGTTGAAAAAGCTTTAAGAGTCTATTCACCCCCCCTCTAGACTCTTACCTCTATCTGGGACCATCAACATTTAATTGCAATGTAGATTTTAAACACATTAGGTAAAATGCTTTTTCCTATCATGGCTTGCTCTAGCCAGTTAGCCACCATCTCGTCGCTGTCAGAGATGGACCGTCACCGGTTGTTGTCATTCTCCCGAATAAAGCTTGAAACTGGGCTTTAGAGCTAAAATCGTTCGCCATCAAGAGTTTGTGTTTTGTTGCCGCCATACAGATCCAAGATCCTGTGGGGAGAAGAAACCACCTCCTTTAGTCGCAGAACAGCCCGGCCGCCCGACGTTGCCGCCCCCGCACACCAGCTCTTCGTCATCATCTCGGAAGACCCGTCCGCCATCACTGCCCTGGAAGACTTGATCGTCGTCACTAGTCAATTGTGACAATATGACCTAATTCATATTGTGATAATATATTTTCACTCAATTGTGACTGATATGTTTTTTTAATAATTCCTCTCAGATAGGACAATTATTTATAATACTTTTGTTGTGCAGTTGTGTTTAACATACATATGAAGACTGGTTTGTAGTGCCCCTATTCATCACACATAAATTTACTCCTTACAAATTTAGTGTCATTGGAAAAAGAGTCAACAAATAACTACGCTTTCTTATCATAAACTTTAACGACGCTATGATATTGTAGTATCAATTTTATTGGTCAAGATGGTTTCATAAAAGTGTATGATACATTGATATGATATGTATACAACATACACACCCAAATGCAATGATCTACCTTAATCTAAAAGCAGAAGAATTTCAGGGAACAGTGTTCCCGCTGAAATCCATCGCTGTATGTATGCATTATGCGTTATAGCCTTCTTGCGTTGTATTGCGTCATTTTCCCCCTGTCTTATTGCCATTGGGGCTTTGAGAGGTATGAGGGTCACTTTCAAGACATGCTATTGGTCCTAGGGGTGGTTCGGTACGGTATACCGAAGATTTTATCTTATACCTTTATCATACCGTAAACTTTCGGTATGCAAAAATACATACCGTTACCATACCTAAATTTCGGTATACCTTGTTTCGGTATACCAAAATTTCGGTACGGTAAGCTACGGTATCGGTAAATTATCATGATTTAATATCAAATTATTATATATCAAATGAAATATAGAAAATCAGTGTTAATAGTGATATACTAAAATTATTAATGAAATTAATTATAAAATGCCAATGATAACCTATTTGTGTTCTATTCAACTTTGAACCAAAAAATATTATAAATATGTACGGATACTTCAACACATGATATATGAAGATAACAACACATTCTGCTAAAATAATAATTTCAACAACATAAATATATTTGAAATAACATCGATCTCCAACTAAAAGTATAAATAATTCAAGAAACATGGATATAAAGTCATTATCCTTGAATTAATGTTGTGTTTCTAGTTATTTTTATAATTTTAAAGAAATTATTGGCTTGGAATTACAGTATGACGGTATAACGGTATACCGTTTATTTCCAAAATATATACCGAAACCATACCGAAGTATTTCGGTACGGTATCATACCGTACCAAAAGTGTCGGTATACCAAACACTTCGATAAATTCGATATTTTTCGATATGGTAAGTCCGGTATACCGAAATTTCGGTATTTTCCCCCACCCCTAATTGGTCCAAACTTGCGGTCCACACTGTTTGCCATCATTCGGTAATTCCAATTGTTTGCGTTTTGCCAAGCAAGCTTCGTATTGGTGGAATTCAAAGGCATGGCAGTGGCCCATTCCATTCCACCCAAATGGTGGTGATTCCTTCACCTATAAAAAGGTCATTCCAGCTGATAACCCGCTTTCGCAGCATTGTAGTAAAACGGAGTTTAACCTTTCCGGATGGAAAAGTTTATCCCCGAGTATCGTGTCTCTGAGGAGTGGCGGAGGGAAGTGTTGGTTTCAATATCGATCACCGGTTAGTACGAGTCCTTGCAAGCTTTCTCAAACGATTAAATTGTGATAATGATTAACCAAATAAAAATAAACAATAAAAGTAATAACTGTGAATTTAATTAAATGGCATTATTGAGTAAACTAAAACTAGTGAACATGCAAAATAAATTGAGAGAGAAATTTAACTAATTAAAATACTAAACTAGCAAACATGTGGATGAGACAAGATTCGAAAATAAAATGCTAAAAGGTAATTAAATTCAATGTGACTAGTAACAATAAATTAACTAATTAAAAGTGGGGTTTAGATTTGGAATTAAGGATCTTGGTTGTCTTAAATTATGAACAAAAATGGAATAATTTCTTTAATATAAGAATAGTGACATTAATTCTCATAGACAAGAATTTAATTTTAATTCCCCTAACATGTCCTATTTCTAGGCTTAGTTTAGAGTGTGTGAGATGTGAGCTAAAATTAATTCTAGACTCATAGACAAGAAAGAATTAATCTTCCAAAAATTCAAAAGTGAAGTGATCAATTTCACAAATTACTCCTTAATTTCATCTCAAACAACTAGTCTAAAAATTAGAGATTTTCCCAAATTCAACTCAATATTCAAGAACACCCATTAACCTAAATTTTATCCAGATCCAAACCCCATGGAAATTTATCCTAACATAATTATCAATAAACTAGCACAATTAATAAAAGACCTAGAGTAATTCATAGATGAAATTAGACAGTAAGTAAACATCATGAAAAACACAATTATCCAATGAAATAGCAATTCGGAATATGAAATACGGAGTAATACAGTAATTTAAACTAAAAGTTTATTGAAGTGTGAATGTAAGTGTGAAACTGGAATTGAAATTGAAAATAACAAAAGATTAACCAGAATTGTTGGTGCTGCTGCTATGTGCTTATTTTCTTACTCCTGCAATTTTATTTCCTCCAGTTCTTGCCGCTAAAGCCTCCTTGCCGCTACTCGCAACCGCGGCTGAGTAAATTCAGGGCTAGTTCCTCCCAGGTGGCTTTTTTGGCCCCCTTTTTACTTATCCCATGTCTGCTCTTGTAGCTCACGGTTCACTCATTGCAGCTGGTTGCCCATCTAATCCGGATCTCCTTTCTGTCCTTGAAGCTGCCCTTCTTGTTCTTTTCTTTGATAGTCCCAAAAATTGGGACTCCACACCCTCCTACTGTTTTGTTGGCCGACTCCCATCTTATCTCATTTTCTTTTTTTCTTTTTTTGTTTCTTTTTCATTTTCTTTAATTTTTTTGTTTGTTTTCTTTTTCTTCACGCAGCGTAGCTGCAGTTTTTTTTCTTTCGTTTGATTAATTAATGTACCTCATTTGTTTATTGCAATAATAATAAAAGAGCATTGAAAAACAAAATTTGACAAACTACAAAATATAAATAACACAAGTAAGTGAAAAACAAACACAAAAACAACCCAAACACTTCAATTAATCACAAATTACTTAAAAACATAAAATCCAACACTAATTTCAAACATTAACATAAATGCAACAAAAACGCAGAAAAGTGATTCAATTTGCCCCGATTTTGACAAGAAACGCCACAAAAAGTGAGTGAAAATATATGAACAAATCGGACTTATCAATCTCCTCACACTTAAGTGTTGCTTGCCCTCAAGCAACAAATCAGATCCCAACATATTTTTCAAGGCAAATTTTTTATGGTGCACAACTCAAGGGCTAAAGATCACTTAGATTCAATCATTAATAGACTAAGATTCCAATCTACCTAACTATATTCACATGAAAGCACAGTAATAACTCAACTTTTATAACACAACATACTAATTAAAAATCCTTTAATACGAGCATATATGCAAAGACTGCTACTAAGTACTTATGAGCACAAGTCAACATTCACATTGAGAAACCCTTAGTCATTCTTAACTAGTCATGGAATACACACAAGCTCCAGTTCTAGAAACAGTTTTAGCTCCCCTAGCATTTTTTTTTGTTCTGTTTTTTTTTTTAATGAACTTGGGGGAGCTATAAACCAAGCCAAGTTGATATGAATTTTATGGTTAAACTAAATCATTGATTTGTGGGGCTATCTCATAAAATATATAAAATATACTCAACTCTCGCAGAATACGATAATGAGAAGAGCAGCGCCCCTTCTCGGAGATGAGACTCCCAACAAAGACACTTCTCAAATCAATAATCAAGTACAACCAGAATAGCGAGAGATATTCTATCAAATGCTAAAAGCAGAGCCTCATTCGAGGATAGAATTCTCCCTAATCCAAAATTTAAATTTTAAGCTAACCAAGGAGCATTGTATATATCCATGAAAAGAAAGTAAGACCGAACAACCATTCAAACCAAAAATCCAAACTTGTGCACACAACTTCAAAGTAGAAATCAAGCATATCTCCTAATATTTAAAGATTTTTTTAAAAGTATAATGGTAATAAAAAGATTAGTTATAACAAAACCTTCAAAAAAATTTAGTTAAAGTAGATTACACCTTAGCTTATTTATCGATCTTAACTTAGTTCACCTGAGCCTCTTGTCATGCACACTAGATCAGTCCATGGCCCTGTTCCAAACCCTCCTCACACTTGAGACTAAACCTCGTCCTCGAGGTCTCAAAATAAAATCAAAATAAAACAGGGCAAATCTGCATTTTTTTTAAAGTACCCTCCTCACACTTAAGATGAATCACAAATAAACACACGTGGAGGGTAAAAATTGATAGAGAAAAGTAAGAAGTACTCCCCTTGTGCTCAACATTGAAGAAGATTTGAAAGAGCAAGCACAAATGAAAATTTAATCCAATTGGGGAACTCCTGTAATTAACCTGAAAAAGCTAAAGCAAACAAAATATAATGATGAATTAAAACTAACACACAAACAAGGAAAAGAAAAGGAAATATTTTTTTTTTGTTTTTTTTAATGCAGTTTTTTTTTTAATTTTTTTTTTTGTTTTTTTTTTGTTTTTTTTTGCAGATTTTTTTAAACCTCCTTTTTTAACACTTGGGTTGCCTCCCAAAAGCGCTTCTTTAACGTCACTAGCTTGACGTTTTTTTTTTCCACTTTTTCCTTGACTTTCCAACTCTCGGATCATACAGCTTGACCCTCAGGACTCTTCTTGTGTACCACCTCTGTTTCATAAAAAACTCACAAGCAAGAACAAAGGCCTGTGCATCTTTCTCATTTTCAGGTGGCAAAATAAAATAAGGAAAGTCGTCCTCATTCTCCAGATCCCCTTCAATCTGGACTGTTTTGAGCCATGTACTAGTTTCAAGCACATCAAGAAGAAAGTCAATGGACTCCTCCATGCTTGTTTCTTCCTCAACATGTGCATCTTCTTCATCAACTTCCACATCCAAAGTCTCCAACAATAGATCAAGGAGCTCCTCAATTTCATTCATCTTCTCATAAGTTCTCTTTTTAAATTTTTCACAAGATGCAACTGTGATCATTTCGGATTCCTCCTCTCCGTGAGATGCTTCATCAAATTCAGCAAGACATAATGTCAGAATATCTCCCTTTTCAACTTTACTTTTGCACAAAATGTCCCCCACTTCCACCTTCTCTGAAATTGGCTCAAAGATCTCTCCAGTTTCATTCTGTAGTTCCACTGAGCTTTGTTTTTTAGTGGAGGTCCATCTCTCATCTGTGAATTCTTCATCAATTATGGGTGCCTCCGTGCTAGTCTCCAAACCTTCCTGAACTGCCACAACATGATTCTGCTTGTTGACCCGACTTGGTCGTGAGTTGAGATTCTTCACTTGAGTTGCCAGGTTGTCAATTATTGTTGTGAGGGCTGAAATTTGATCGGTGCCTTGAAGTGTAGTCTTGGAAGAAGATTTTGTCTCGTAGTACCAGTTCTTAGCATTTGATACCACATTCTCCACGAGTTTTTCACTCTCTTTTGGTGTCATGTTGAGAAAAGAACCCACCTTTGAATAACAGTCCAACTCTTTTTTACTTACAACTTGAAGTCCATAGTAGAAATAGAACATCAAGTCATAAGCATCCATCAACTGTGTAGGACACTTTCTCCGTAAGACCTTGTATCGATCCCAAGCCTCACTAATTGTTTCCATCGGGGCTTGCTTAAAATTTTGAATTAATGTTCTGATGTGCGCAACCGCCGATGGAGGAAAATACTCATGCATGAATGCCCGGTGAAGAGCATTCCAGGTGGTGAAGTGACCTGGTGAAAAAGAATTCACCCACTGAATAGCCTTATCCCGAAGAGAGAATGGGAATAAGATAAGCTTCACGATGTCAATTGACACTTCATTGATCCGGAATGTGTTACAGATTCTGTTAAACCACAACATATGCACCATCGGATCTTCATGTTTCAAACCGCCAAATTGATTAATTGATATCACGTGTATGATATCAGGATTAATCTCAAAATCAGTGGCATCGATTGACGGAATAATGATGCTATCATCCTCAGAAAAGTCCAAGGTTAAAGCATCAAGCACTGTTTGCCTCTCCCTCATCCTGGTGATTTTTTTTATCAAACCCTCTCAATAATGTTCTTTCAGGCAGAGAGCAAATGATAGCAACTTGCCATGTTTGAAAGAGAGAGATTTTACAAATTGATCTTGCAAACTTGAGAAAACAACACAAAAAAAAAAAAACAGAAAATAAAGGAGAAAGTCTCACTAACTCGGGTTCGCCTATGCCAATAATAAAAACCAACTTACAACCGTGCCACTCCCCGGCAACGGCGCCATTTGATAACCCGCTTTCGCGGCATTGTAGTAAAACGGAGTTTAACCTTTCCGGATGGAAAAGTTTATCCCCGAGTATCGTGTCTCTGAGGAGTGGCGGAGGGAAGTGTTGGTTTCAATATCGATCACCGGTTAGTACGAGTCCTTGCAAGCTTTCTCAAACGATTAAATTGTGATAATGATTAACCAAATAAAAATAAACAATAAAAGTAATAACTGTGAATTTAATTAAATGGCATTATTGAGTAAACTAAAACTAGTGAACATGCAAAATAAATTGAGAGAGAAATTTAACTAATTAAAATACTAAACTAGCAAACATGTGGATGAGACAAGATTGGAAAATAAAATGCTAAAAGGTAATTAAATTCAATGTGACTAGTAACAATAAATTAACTAATTAAAAGTGGGGTTTAGATTTGGAATTAAGGATCTTGGGTGTCTTAAATTATGAACAAAAATGGAATAATTTCTTTAATATAAGAATAGTGACATTAATTCTCATAGACAAGAATTTAATTTTAATTCCCCTAACATGTCCTATTTCTAGGCTTAGTTTAGAGTGTGTGAGATGTGAGCTAAAATTAATTCTAGACTCATAGACAAGAAAGAATTAATCTTCCAAAAATTCAAAAGTGAAGTGATCAATTTCACAAATTACTCCTTAATTTCATCTCAAACAACTAGTCTAAAAATTAGAGATTTTCCCAAATTCAACTCAATATTCAAGAACACCCATTAACCTAAATTTTATCCAGATCCAAACCCCATGGAAATTTATCCTAACATAATTATCAATAAACTAGCACAATTAATAAAAGACCTAGAGTAATTCATAGATGAAATTAGACAGTAAGTAAACATCATGAAAAACACAATTATCCAATGAAATAGCAATTCGGAATATGAAATACGGAGTAATACAGTAATTTAAACTAAAAGTTTATTGAAGTGTGAATGTAAGTGTGAAACTGGAATTGAAATTGAAAATAACAAAAGATTAACCAGAATTGTTGGTGTTGCTGCTATGTGCTTATTTTCTTAGACTCCTGCAATTTTATTTCCTCCAGTTCTTGCCGCTAAAGCCTCCTTGCCGCTACTCGCAACCGCGGCTGAGTAATTTCAGGGCTAGTTCCTCCCAGGTGGCTTTTTTGGCCCCCTTTTTACTTATCCCATGTCTGCTCTTGTAGCTCACGGTTCACTCATTGCAGCTGGTTGCCCATCTAATCCGGATCTCCTTTCTGTCCTTGAAGCTGCCCTTCTTGTTCTTTTCTTTGATAGTCCCAAAAATTGGGACTCCACACCCTCCTGCTGTTTTGTTGGCCGACTCCCATCTTATCTCATTTTCTTTTTTTCTTTTTTTGTTTCTTTTTCATTTTCTTTAATTTTTTTGTTTGTTTTCTTTTTCTTCACGCAACGTAGCTGCAGTTTTTTTTCTTTCGTTTGATTAATTAATGTACCTCATTTGTTTATTGCAATAATAATAAAAGAGCATTGAAAAACAAAATTTGACAAACTACAAAATATAAATAACACAAGTAAGTGAAAAACAAACACAAAAACAACCCAAACACTTCAATTAATCACAAATTACTTAAAAACATAAAATCCAACACTAATTTCAAACATGAACATAAATGCAACAAAAACGCAGAAAAGTGATTCAATTTGTCCCGATTTTGACAAGAAACGCCACAAAAAGTGAGTGAAAATATATGAACAAATCGGACTTATCACCAGCGTGATGCTTTCTCACCTCGGCTACCCGTTTTAGTTGGAAACTCAAAAACAGAAACCGATAATATTCTCATTCCAAAATATGGTAGGTATGTGGTCTCTTATTTGCGAAATCGACCAGAGCAAGACAACGTGGGCCATAAAGGCCAGGGCTACAAGGGTGTACCGTGAGCCTGCGCATGATGGGTTCCCACCTTCTTTGGAAGTCGTGTTTCACGACGAAGAGGTAGTAGAACCTACATTTGTTTCATACGGTTTGTTGCCGCTACTGAGTTTTATACTGACTTTGAGTTGTCATTTGCAGGGGTAAAAAATCCATGCACATATTCCTGATCAATTTGTTGGAATTTTTTTTGTATCTTTAGGGAAAGCCGCATTTTCGTAGTAAAAAAATTCATGGTTGAGGAGAATTATATGTATTTCAAAACTACAACGAGTGCTTACAGGCTACGTTTCTTTAAGAAAAGTGCAGCTTTTGAAATACAAGTTCCATTTCCCTTGCGGACGTTTACCTTGGTATCGTTTGCCACCTTGCAGGGTTAAGATGTGATTGATGAGAAGTCGGGAATTGGTGCGGTTAAAAACTAATACGTAACTTATAACTCTTTGAAATTATTGGACAAGTAGTTCACGAAAAAGATCCTAAAACCATATTAAAGAATGATCGCCCAAAGAAGTTAATTGAGCTTATCATGGGATGTAACACCCCCAAATTTCCCTCCCAAAATAATACTTAAGAAATAATAAACTTTTATTAATTTTTTTTTAAAACTTTCAATTGTTTGCAGCGGAATTAAATACTAACAAGGAAAAGGGGCGTGTTACCGCCACACCCAGCCCTAAACCGACTGGATGCTAAGGCTATCCACCGTAAATGTATCTAAAGTAATTATTAAATTCAACATTTGAAATCATGAAATCTAACAAGGTTCATTCTAAATGAGACTACTCTAAAAATCTTCTAGGAGCGCTCTCAGTGCATCAGTCTTCATAAACCACATCATCTGTAACATAAGAAAATAAAAGAACAAACAACACAAAAATTAGCTTTAGAGCTAAGTAAGTCCCACCCAACCCCGTAAAATAATAGTTTTGTTTAAAAATAAGTATTTGTATATAGTATATACAAAAATGAGTTTCCAATAAATTCAAAAAGAGTAATAATATCTCTAAAAGATTTTCTTCAATAGTTCTCGTAAGTATTTCAAAGAATAATTCTCCAAGTACCAAAATATTTGATTTTTCCTCAAAATAGCTTTATAGCTAATTCTCCTAATCATTTAATTAGAAGGGCGGTGCTCAAGCGTTATCTCGATTCTTGAGCCCAGTGATCCGTTGTTTTGTACGGTCACTCCGATCTACTCTCGGTACCTCATCTCCTCTATTAGAATCTAGACTTCTACCTTAAGTGTGCACACCCCCTAAAGGGATTCCAAGCCCTCCGAGTAGTATGAAGTCTAAGTAGTTCTGACGTCAACGTCTCCCTACTCAAAATGGGATATACTCCCTAAGTTCTAGGTTCAAAGACCCTTAAGAGAATAGGTACTACTACTACTACTACTACTGCTCTAATAAATGGGATCTAATGCCCAGTTGTTCGGGGTGGTTACCGAACCCTCCAAAAATTTATTTAATTTGCTTTACACCTCTCAATTCAAGTAGTAGTAGTCCTAACCCTCCCTCACCATTAACGGACGTGAAGGTGGCCCGACACCTACGGATTTCTCCCGTGGTGCCCCAATTATGAAAACAGTCTTTTATCTTGACTTTCCAAAAATTTCACATTTATGTCTCTTGGACAAAATTTTACCACAAGGATTATTATCATTAAATTCATAACTTTATATTCTCCCCAAAATATCTTACGTATACACATAATCCGATGTATCTCAAAATCATAACAAACACAACTTGCTCACAAGTAATTCATCAATCAAAATATTCACACCATCACATAAATCAAGTAAATAATTATTTACGAGGTAAAAATAATAATTTTGGTTGCAATGTGACTTACCTCAAATTCCAGATATTCTTAGCAAGCTTCCCTAACGGCTTCCTCTCCAAAGTCACCTTCTATTATTTAGAATTCCCGAAGTCAATATTTGTTCTCATTCGTATTATAATTGTTCTACCTTCCATTAAGGATTATGCTTGTATATTTTATTATAAAAGTCCATTTTTAATTTTATTCTATTTTGCTAAATTATTTGGATTTCAGCCTTAACAGTCCGTTTACCAAATTAATATCAATTTAATTAAATCTCATACCGTTTAAATATTCAGGTCATATAATTCATCGTTTATTAATATGATTCCTTGTTATTTGTTATTTAATCGGTTCAACATATTGTTAATTTAACGCTTATGATTAGTTAATTTGATTTTTGTTATAATCCGATAAAGGTAATGCAAGTGATTCATGTTACGTAATGTTAACCGGCCTATTCGTTAGAATTTATCCTTTATATTTATCTTAGTTGATCTACTATTTAACCCAAATGTCCATTTTTAAATTGATCGGTCTATTTGTTCTTACCAATCCAGTTTACAATAACCCTTCCAATCCATTTAATGAACTTATTTAATTTCGATCCATTTACATTAATCCAGTATTGCTACCTTAGTTTTTAAATTCGGTCCATTATTATGTCTAACGATCATCCATATTAGTTGGTTTATTAATTTTATTATATCTATGATGTCCATTTTAGAGTATTTCAATGATCAATCGGGTTTAACTAAAACAGTCCTATTTTCATTTTAATCCCAATTAGTCCATTCGATAATAGCCATTTAATTCTATATAGACCATTGATATGTTTATCATTATTATGTTTATCATAATAATAATATTATTATTAGTAGTATGGATCACTCATTATGTATATATATACTTATCTATTAAGTTTGAAAAGTCAAACTACTTTTATACTACCTCCGTCCCCCTAAGTTTGGGACAAGAGAATGTGACACGGTTATTAATAAAATTGGGTTTATGTGGTTGTTATTGAATTGATAAAATAAGAATAAAGTAGGAATGATTTAGAACCACACAAACTTTACCAAATAAGGTATGAGACAATCTTAGTGGGACGGACCGAAAAGGTAAAACGGGACAATCATAGCGGGACGGAGGGAGTAAGTGCTACGTAAGAATGTGCATGTACTTATGAATAAATTATATAAGCATTGTTATTATTATATATACTTCGTACCTAGTAATCTAAATGCTACTTCGTAGTATTGATAATTATTGCATAACTGTCACACG